ACCTCTCTCTCTCTCTCTCTCTCTCTCTCTCTCTCTCTCTCTCTCTCTTTCTTTGACACCCTATCAGGCCGACTTTCGGGTCATCTTGAGTCAGCAGGTTTCAGCCTCCAAAGTCTCCAAACTCTCCAAACTGAGAGGCTCTTGATGATTACTTTTTTTTTTCGTTTGCTTTGCCTTTTTCCCCGACTGGCTGCGTGCCACCTCCAGGAACTGTAAAGATCGCCCACATCACCAGAGAGCGGCACGCTGCAATGCATCAGGCAGCTTAGCCCCTCGTCGTATATTTAAGTGATTGCTGACATAATTTATGAACGGAATGGAAAATAAAGTCTGCATTGCAATAAAAAAAAATAAAAAAAAGGGGGGAGAGATCTATAATTTATTTGGCTTGCCACAAGTCAGCACTGTACTCTCCTGCAGACCCTCCTCCCCCACTCAAATCTCATTTCTGTGCATTTGCAGTTTTCTGCTTCCTCCTCGTTTCTCTTCCTCAGGAGCATGGGGGGGGCATCTTTAGGGTTTCTTTTTGGGGGAGATAGGGTGCTTGAGGGGGGGTCTTCACTGGACTCCGGTGTAGGAATGCCTTCACGTTTACAAACAAACTGGCTCTTTCGCTCGCCCTGTTTGCCTTTGTGGCCTGTACGGGCAAACACACAGCAGGAAACACTGGCTTGTTGATCGCCTTCACAGAGCCGCTCATAAACCCAGCAAGCATGAATGTGGGGGCCTGTGTGTGTGTGTCGTTTGTGTACTTCACAGCAGCCCCTGACACCCCCCCCCCCTTTTTTTTTTTTAATAAACCCAAGGGGTGTTGTGCAAGTAAACAACCAAATAACTATTAAGCATTGAATCATGACATTGAAGCACAAAGGGGGGGCGAGCCGACGTCCTCGATGTCAAAATTTGCAACGTAAATAAGAAATTACACTCTTGATTGTGCTGCAAAGTTTGTCTGTTCCTGTTTGTGGATGTTGCTTGGAAACAACACTAAATCACATTGTTCAACATGTGGCTTCTCTCTCGCTGCCTCTCGCTAATTCCTCGCCTTTGCTCGCTCGCCCTCACTCCGTTTGTAAACAGGGAACCCGGGGATGCATGGCCTCATTGTTTTGCATCATTATTACTGACAGGCCTTAATGACTTGAATGATGGGAAGGCCTCATACAGAATTAACCCAGCGCTGTGTGTTTACGCTGCCTAAATCATGTTGCTCATTGGCTTGAAAGAGAAGCAGAAGAGGGAGGGGGGGGGGAAATAGGGGCCTCACATCCTGACATCTGCAAAGCACCTGTCCTGAGCTGTGCATGCTAGCAGCGCCAGAGCACATTTAAACATCTTCCCCTCATTTTACTCTGCAGCCTTGAAAAACACCATGACCGTCATGTGCTTAAACAATTGACGACCTCTGCCGTGTTTTCTTCCTGTTTCCACTACGTCCATGTTTTTCTTTTTGTTTGGGTGATGTAACGCTTGTGTATTATTTGTATTTGAATGTCGTCATCTAAATTCTTGATTTGAAATCTTTTGCATTTCTTATGCTGTTTGAGAACTTCTTGTACTTTGGCTCTGCGACATTACAGGATATCTGTATTTTTCTTTATACTTCTATATTTATTACACTTCTGATGTGTAAACAATCAAGAAAATCTCTTTAAATGAAAGCCATCTGTTGGACGAGTGTTGACCGTTAGCATGTAGCTTTGTGAAACCAAACAAACTGACAAACAAATGATCTAACTAGAGACTAACCGTTTGATAGCATTGCAAAAAATAATGTATGCCACTTAATCCACCACAAACAATTATAATGATCAAAGATCTAAACTGGTGAGAATGAATCACCAGTTTTGTAAAGCAAACTTGTCTTTCTTCTTGTTCAAGAAGAGTTGAAAATGATGAATTTGTGATTCATTTTTAAGCTAACAAGTACAAATAAAGACACACTATGGCTATGCTAACATGCTAATATTTGCTATATAGTTGCATCCACTTACAACTTCTATTACTTTACAGTTTTGCACCTAAATCGACCAAATTGTTCTTCAAATTACCACATCACAATGAAGTTGAATTTATTTGCTTCTAAGGCTTTTGCAACCAGCCTCCAGTGGACACTCAACGAAACTGCAGTTTTCTTTTTACTTCAACATTGGCTTCAATTTCCAACAGTGGAGGTCACCGCTTGGTTAGCACATTGTCTGTCTTCTTGGTATTTCACAGTGCTGGGACGCAATCTCAAATAATAATAATAATAATAATAACTTTGTTTATATAGCACCTTTTAAAAACACAGGTTTACAAAGTGCTTTGACAAACAGCAAAAACAAGAACAAACTAAACCAAACACAGAAGAACATAAACAACAGCAAGAACATAACAAATGCAAAATACTAAAAATAATTAAATACAATTCAACAGAAAAGAACCCAAAGTGCACGATACCCAACAGACATATAGAACCCGACCATCATAAGAACCATCATAAGAACCATCACAAGAACTATTATAAGAACCATCATAAGAACCATCACAAGAACCATCATAAGAACCATCATAAGAACCATCATAAGAACCATCACAAGAACCATCACAAGAACCATCATAAGAACCATCATAAGAACCATCACAAGAACCATCATAAGAACCATCATAAGAACCATCATAAGAACCATCATAAGAACCATCATAAGAACCATCATAAGAACCATCATAAGAACCATCACAAGAACCATCACAAGAACCATCATAAGAACCATCATAAGAACCATCACAAGAACCATCATAAGAACCATCATAAGAACCATCATAAGAACCATCATAAGAACCATCATAAGAACCATCATAAGAACCCAGGCAACACGAGCTGAGACCAAGAGGAGCAAAGATTTAAAAAGATGTAAGAAACTAAAAGAGCTCAAAGCAAATCAAAAGATAACAGCAATAAGAAGGTAAACAAGTGATTAAATGATAAAAATAAACAATAATATTAATAAAAATAAAAAGTAAATATAAATATAAATATAAAACATAAATAGACAATGTAAGTAAGATAAGCTATTACCAAGTTGAAACATAAGAGGAGTTAAGATAAGAGCATAAATAAGAGGACAGTAAGAAGATAAAAATAGTAAAACCAGTAAGAGAAGACATTAAGAAGACGACGTCACATAAAAGCAAGTCTGTAAAAGTACGTTTTAAGAAGGAATTAAAAAAAATTGAGGGAATCTGCAGTGGGAGCTTCATTACTGCATTGTTGCTGAATTGCAAACTACAAACTACTTCTTGAATGAGAGTTTTGTGTTATTTGGCAAAATAAGTTAACTAATGCATCGTAAATCAGAGGCTAACATGTCCTAAACAGGACCTAGCACACCCTGTAAATGAACAGTGCAACCTGCATGCTAGCTGTAAACTGCTCCTCTGCTCACTGCAGCCTGAATATTCACTTTTTAACTTGCATGTCAGGCCACACAGTGCAGCTGCAGAGAAAAGGCCAGTGTCCAGCGCTGCTTCGGTCCACTGAACAATCTAAGAGCACCCACACTGCTCGGCATGCACGCTCCCACTGTTCAATATTCCACCGCCCTGCTGAGTCACATGACATGGCTGTCCCACTAACCTCCCATCAGACGTTATCAGTGGTTATACAGGCCAATAGTTTCCTGCGAGGGAGGGAGTTGTGTAAGCTCTCCCCTGGCCCTCAGAACAAAAGCTGAGCCTCTAGAAAGGGAGGAGGGTGGCACTGGCCTTCATCAGCCAGCGCCACCGAATTCGGAAGTGAGTCACTCCTCTGCCGTGTGCAGAATCCCTCCCCAAAGGTCGCCCTCGCTGGCTGCAGCGCGTCTCCATCTCAGCTGTTGCATAATGGCAGCAGTAGAAAACAGGCTGCAGGAGGAGGAGGACTGTATTTACACGTTTTTACACCGCGGATAAGAAATGTTGGCTTAAATGAAATGTTTTTTTTTTTTCTGTAAATGTTTCTGCTCAGGACAAACAAATATCCGTATTAGTTATCTGATATTTAAAGGGTGGAAACAGAAAACCAGTCTTTCCACCTGTGTCCTCAAGTTACAAAAGCAAGTGCCGTTTTCAAAAAGAGGTAACAGAGACGACAAACATCGAAAGCCTTAAACTTCCTCCAAAAACTCTAATCTAGTTCATTAAGTTGTTTATTTTGTTTATTTGAAGTCGACTCCTTTTCCAACAACATGTTGTTCTTTGGCTACACAAGACCTCTAATGTGATTATCAGATGGATTTCTCTCGCCAGGAAATAAACTTGATTTCCTCTTAATCTTTTTCCAAACTGAGCACAAGTTCAGTTTGTTTCTGGTGATTCCCACCTTTTTGTACATTTTATTTTGAGGGTTAGATTATGAACTCATAATTAAAGGCATAGTGTGCGACTTTTTGATCCAGTAGATGTCGCTCTTGAGCGCCAGCATGAAACCAAAACAAACTGCTGTTTGGCCACGCCTCCTCCATACTGAAGCCTCCGCTCTCCTCCAGCGTCACACACTCGCAATTATTATTATTATGACGTTACCCTTTACCTCAGCTTGAAGATAAAACAAAAACTTTTCAGTCATGTATTGCTGTCTTTCATCAGGGCCACAAAAAAATTAACATTTTGTATGTGAGTTGTATATGAGTATGATCCGTCTTTGGCAATCATACAACTTTGAATGCATACGTTTTCTTCAGATCTTAACAGCTCAGATGTCGGTGCAATGGAATTTCAGTGTTGTCATCATGCATTTTATCACCACAGACTATAAAGGACAGATTGTATAGATTATCTGTGGTTTGATTGGTTTAAACCTTTGTATTCTTAGATAACAGCCTTTCTAAGAAATGATATAAAAAGTGTTTTTTCCATTACGACCACATCTAGAGAGTCACTGAAGTCGACCGGCCTCTGACTGTGCTCGTGCTTTAGTGTTCGGTGGATGGAGCTCTCTTGCCTGACAGCTGAATATCTGTGTCTGTTTCCTTTCCCAGATAACAGCAGTATGCAGAGAGGCTGCCCTCCTGGCCCTACAAGAGGACATCAAAGCTCAGCACGTCCAGGCCAGACACTTTGAAAGTGCCCTGAACGCTGTGAAGCCTCGGATCCCTGACTCTCTCATCCAGTCGTATATCAGCTATCAGCAGCAGCGCGGCGGCGGCCTGTGCTTCTTCTGAGCACGCCGCTGTGGACAAACTAAGAGACTACCCTGCCACGTTTCTATTTCATAATGACTAAAGTAAATATGGTTTGTCACCGGCGGCCATCTTGACAAATATGGACTTCAGTTGTTGTTTCTTATGTACGCTCTGTAAACACACTTTTACGTCTGAAGCTCGTGCAGAACATTCAGATTGTGTTGTTGAGTTATGAGCTTAAGTGTCTAGTTTGATCTTCTAAAATAATGATGTATTAAAAGGCATTATTTATGAATTTATGGTCTTTGTTTTTCTTGCATTTTTGGTAAAGAGGGAACATTGCTGATGCCAAGTTAATGATATTTAAAAGGGGTTCAATCGGGGGTGTAGGTCTGGTTAATCCTGCTTAGAGTTCTGTGGAAAACACCTTTTAATACCATGTCTGTCGCCTCTAATGTAATGTCATATGTGTTTTATTTTCATCTTACTTCCAGAAACTTTTTTAAAGCAATTTAAGCCTCTTTTTTAAAACTTTTTATATCTTAAAATAAGATAATTTATCAGGACTAGTCAGCTGAATGTGGCTCATCATAAGTTTTTACTATAAAATACAATTAAACTCACTAAGATTTGGGTTTCTGCAGTGAGGGTTCTTGGGAGAGCAGGTTTGGACTGGATCTGAAGGCAACACAACGCGTTAGTATTTTTAATTTCAGCTTTACTTTACATTCAAACGTAAACTTCCTTTATGGCATTTTTAGTGAATCTTGCTCAAAGTTTAAATATGGTTGTCTCTTAGAAAAAAGAGCATTCCTTAGAAGTGTTTTAATTACTAACATAATCTATAATGTATAATAACATCAATGGGTTTACATTTTATTTAAAATTCTGAAAATACTTGAAGCTCCTGTGAGGAACTTTCCGTTTGTTTGATTTTGGCGCCCCCTGTGGACAAACATTGTCACTACATTTTTATCTATTGTTCTTGTCCTGTACATGCTTAAGATGACAAAACATTTCATCCTGCATACTTTTAGCCGAATGAATCCAGATCTTTGCATCCTGCTAATCATTTTATCTGACACCCGGCAGCGATTTTGGGAGTTACAAATAATAATAAAAAGAATCAGTCTTCTTCTTGATGGTCTTTTTTGGTTTTGTAGATTATAAAGAGGCATCAGTATTAACTTCAGTCTGTTTCATTGCGAACTAAAAACGCCTCACAGGAGCATTAAGGCCCATATTTTTTAATAAATGTAGTAAATGCCATGTTGTTTAAACGTTTTATGTCTTCGTAAAGAGGTGCTCATGATCCCTCTGATCAGAAAATTACATAATGTTCCTTTGCATTAACATCCATGTAGTGCTATTGTGGATTTATACTTTAATCTGGACCCCCTTCAGTAGCCTCTGTTGGTTCCTAAAGCTCCACAGAAAACAGTCCCGGCTGGTACATTCATCACGGCCATCCATGGAAAATTAGCTAATTGCTGTAATCGTGAGATTTCCGTCCCGACTTCCGACCACTAAGAGCCGGGATCCAGGCGGGCCATCTGTCGGGGTCTACCAGCCGAGGAGCTGAATCTTTAACATCCAGCCTGAAAAACAACATGTGAGTCGTTTCATCGCTTTAGCACTTCGTTAACTCTAATAGGGGGGGGGGGGGGCTTTTTCTTCCTCGTCCCCTTTTTTGGAGCATTTGCTGACCCGAAATAGCTCTGGAGGTCATTCATCTATTGATTTTTCCATTTGAATAGGATAGATTGACTTTGTATTGAACTTCCTTTTCTCATGGATCCGGATGTAGCGCATCCGCGACACCAATCAAACCAGACAGTCAGGAACAGAGAGGAGGAGGGGGTGCAGGAGCGAGGGGCGAGTCTTTCCCCCTGGCTGCAGGGCTGCTTTTTTCTTAAGGTGGTACCACAAACCCCCCCCCCAACAACCCACACCACCATTTCCACCTCCCCCCCCATGCAAAAATCCACCCGTGAAACTTTTGAAATGATGGGTTAAGTGCAGGCTGTAGACTCATCGCTACGCGTTTTTATTTCCCCTGATGAGCCTGCTGACTGTGTCAATGCGTAATGGGAACATTCCTGAGAGAAAGAGGAGACATCCTGTTGATGTTTCCTCCCTCGGTTTGTCTGTGAAATCACACAGTTGTCAGTGCAGAAGAAAGGTTTCCAAAAAAGTGGCTCCAGCACAAGAGGGAGTCTTTTTTTTTTTTTTTATAGAGTCAAGGTTAACTTTTCAGATTTTTACATCCTTGTGTTCATGCCCGATATTTAAGAGGCTAATCAAATAGGCTAACCCTTATTTTAAAGGATCATTAACATCTGTTTATTAAGTTTTTACTTTGAGATTAATCTCAGATTGATTCTGTTTTATTTTAATGCCTCAGCTTCAGTTATATGGATACTTTGATTTATGTCTCATTTGATATTTGATAAGTGTTTTATCAGCATTTTACTTTGAGTGTGTTTAATATTCGTCATTATATCTTTAGTATAAGTCCTTTTTATAGGTACCAGATGATTCCCTTAGAAGCAGAAGTTTTTAAAAAGATGGATAAATGGGCTTCTACTTGTCTTTTCATCGTGTCTGGATCTTATGAACCCCCCCCAAAAAAGACAAATCAGCAGGAAATATAAATAAACGGCTCCTTTATTACTTCACTATTAGTCACATTCACCTTATTCACATCATTATTCATAACCCACAAGAGCGGAAACGACTACTTTGTTTTCTTCCCTCGTCAAGCCAACGCGGAATAAAAAATAGAAAAAAACCCTCCCGTTCCACCTTAACTAGTGCACACATCTCTATCGCCCGGCCTTCCACATCTGCCCAATGAATCAGGAGCGGATGCGATGTATCCTTTTTCAGTGGAGTTGAATGGCCAATGGGAGTTGGCTTGTCGAGCAAACACTGAGCCCTGCGTTCCCATTCATTCAGTGCTGAGCAGGCCTGCAGAGCTGAGGAGAGCTGCGACCACACGACGCTTCGTTTTTTTTCCTCCTCTCTCTACAGCGAGCGCAGATTTCTCCCCGCAACAGAAAGAGTAACAGCCTGAACTCTCCTTAGATACACACGAAGAGAAGGGACAGACAAGTCTTGGGATTAACGCTCACTCTTGTGTTTGATTTCATTTCTACGGGACTTCTTTTTTTTTTTGTTTCTTCCCCCTCAACGCTATTTCTACTCTCTAACAATTCCTGCGGGACTTCTTCTATAAACTGGGGCTGTCTCGACTGAAGATCGGCCTCCCCCAAGTACGCAGCAGTTCTCCTTCCTCCACCGGAGCTGCACCGTGGATTTACTTTGTTTTTTAAAACTGGGACGAATGCATGCGTAAAAGCGCGCTGAACCTCCAGAGAACTAACCAAAAAAAGAAAAAAAAAGGGAATTACGCAAAGGGGATACACTCGCACTTGGATTAACAGACAGCGAATGTTATGCATTAGACCTTAAAGTCTACGTTTGGACATTGCCCCCTTCCTTTTGGATGGACTTTTTGTAGGCTATTTGGTTGATGGATTCGATGTTATGGATGGTTGCAAATAGGTACGTATCCTCCTTACTGTTTTACTCTAATTTAACGCGTTTTTTTGGGTGCTTTTGTGGTGTGTGTTCAGAGATAGTAGCGCACGTAGCAAACACACGCGCCGCTGTAAAGATTATTCATTACAATGGTGCATATAGCCTATAAAAAAAAACACCTCCCAACACTTTTTTTTATGTGTTCTGCAACCGCATCGGGTGAAACTCGTCGCGATCAGTTGATGAAGTTGATGGATCTCCATGCCTGCTGTGTCCTTCCGTGGCTCATGCTGTAACAAACACCCTTCCCCCCACGGCGGTTGTTTTCATTCATAAGTTTTTTTGCCCGTCTATTTGAACGCGTCCTCCTAATGTCCTCTTGATCTCCGGATCTGTGTGTTTTATAGGATCCTGCTTTTTCACTGCGCAGGATGTTGTCTCCTTTGAACGCGAGCTGGTGCAGATAATCCTATTTGTAGTGACGATTAGACTTTTCAAAATATTTAGATATATACTTTGTTTGCAAAGTGCAGAAGAGACAAAAAGCTTACTCTTTGGTTTGCATTGTTTTTATCTGTATAGGTGCGTCTCACGACACAGCTAGTCTTCTGTCTTTGCAACATGACCAGGTTCAAACACGAAGGCTGAAACCAAAATTCTTAAAGCTGTTTATAAATGTCTTCCTATAGATTTAATCCGACAACTTTAAAGCTCTCGGTTCGGGTTTTTTTCCTCATCCAAAGTCTGTATTTTGTCGGAACTTGATCTGACCTTTAGTTATTCCCCCCCGTCCCCCCTTCTCCTACTTTTGTCCCCATTTCCCTGAATCCCTTTTTTAGGTTGTAGTAATAGAATACTAAGTGAGGCAGCTCATTTAGTTCCCTTGGATCGTGTCCTCATTTTCGTCGCCGCGGTGCATTTAAATGTTAACTAGTCATACAAATGTAAATGAGCAGGGGAAGTATTTGTAGGGCCTGCTGAAGTTTTAGATGTGTTGCGTATTGGGAAGGAAGGTAAAAAAAAAAAAAAAAGTCTTGTTAATAGTCAAACTGTGTTTCCTGGGTGGATTCACTTAACGGAATAAAAGTGACATGTTGACAGCAGGAAAACAGAAAGTCTGAACTCACTTGAAGTGTCAAACAGAAAAATATACATTATTTTGTTTTAGATAATGAGACTTTGAATGTAACTGTTTGTGCAGCTGAACAATAAGTATCATGTTGTTTAACAGGAACACGGGTTAGTTGAGTCTTAGACGGCCTGGGAACGTGTTACCCGTCCTTCATCGGCACACTGTGTTTTTTCCAGTTATGCCATGTTTTGGCTCTCTCTGATGATGTCCCCTCCCTCCCCTGCTTCTTCCTTTGTCTCTCCCCGGCCTCTCTCTCTCTCTCTCTCTCTCTTTCTCCCCCCCTCAGGCAGGTTTTCCGATGCATGCCAAGTCCACGGTGAATGTCGGAAGTGGTGATCCCCCCAGATGGAGCTCCAAAGTCAACATGGCCCCGGCGGTTCATTAGTGGTGATCCAGCAGCCTTCCCTAGAGAGCCGACAGAGGTCGGATTACGAGCGGGAGCTCCAGCATGCCGCCATTCTCTCCCTGGACCAGATCAAGGCCATCCGCTCCAACAACGAGTACACCGAGGGGCCCTCAGTGGTACGGAGGCCCCCTGCTCCCCGCATGGCCCCCAGGCCCCACGACAAGCAGGAGAGGACTCACGAGGTCATCCTCGTCAATGTGAACAACAATTATGAGCACCGGCCGCTGGGGGGGCACCACCACCACGTCGGAGGCGGCGGTGTGGTGGTGGTGGCTGGAGGGCAGCAGTATGGAGGGTCCCGGGCACCGGGGCTCAGCCGCTCCACCAGCACAGGAAGCGCCGCCAGCTCAGGGAGCAACAGCAGCGCCTCCTCTGAGCAGGGACTCTTGGCACGCTCGCCCCCCACCCGGCCCGGCATGAGCTTACAGCACCACCACAGAGCAGAGTGGCCTGTTCGGACTCAACCCAAGCCCAAGGCGCTCTTGCAGCCCCAGCAGGGACCTAACTTCCACCAGCCTCCACTAGAGGCTCCGCTCAAGCCGCAGGGCAAAGGGAAATCAGACTTTTCTGGCTCCGGCACCGGGCTGGTGGCTGCAGCCGCCGGGCACCAGTTCATCTGCGAGTGCTGCGGGAAGTGCAAGTGCAGCGACTGCACGGCTCCCCGCAGCCTGCCGTCATGCCTGGCGTGCAACGGCCAGTGCCTGTGCTCGGCGGAGAGCGCGCTGGAGCACGGCACCTGCATGTGCCTGGTCAAAGGCATCTTCTACCACTGCTCCAACGACGACGAGGGGGACTCGTGCGCCGACCAGCCCTGCTCACTGTCGCGCTCCCACTGCTGCTCTCGCTTTCTGTGCATGGGATTAATGTCGGTACTCTTCCCCTGTCTCCTGTGCTACCCGCCCGTCAAGGGCTGCCTGAAGGCGTGCCAGGGCTGCTACGACCGGGTCAACAGGCCCGGCTGTCGCTGCAAGAACTCCAACACTGTGTACTGCAAACTGGAGAGCTGGGCCACACAGAGCCAGGAGAAACCCTCCTGATCGGCCCCCCTCTGTGTGTGTTTGTGACTGTGTGTGTGTGTGTGTGCGCGGGAGACTCTAGATGTGGATCTTATGATGATAGTCACAAATTAATGTTTATCAAACATTCTTAAGCACCTCCCACCCCCGCCCCCCCCTCTTCGCTGCAGAACCCTAAGGAGCTAAAAAGGAGTAACGAAAACCACTCGATTTATTTTTGTTTTCTCTGGATCAGGACCATGTTTTTTTTTTTTTTTTACAGACCAGTGTTTGCCTTAACTGTTTCTATGTCTGTCCTCAGCTCCTCATTAACACTATTTTAAAAAAAATACACAAGAGAGTTTTTTTTTCTTCCATTTTAGGTAGGCAGCTTCCTACCCGGAGTCTGTGCACCGTGGGGGAGCTGCCTCTCTCCAAAATCTGTGAAGGACGATCTACTATAGGGCAATTATGTAGCTGTTACCTGGTATTCATAGCAAGCAGGTGTGTTTGACTTTATTGGTTGCTGCCACACTAAAACCTGTGGTTCCTCTGCTCATGTTGCATTAACGAAAGCACATCCATCTCATAGTATTTTCTTTTTTTTTTCTCCGCTTGGATTATGTTTCTCTCCTTCCACCCATCTGAACTCTTCATTCACATTCTGAGGCATTCTCCCATGTTTTTTTTGTTTTGTTTTGTTCTTTATTTTGTTGTAAAATTGTATTGCTCAAAAATCCATAAGAGGAATTCTGGCTATTTTTTAAAAAGAAAAAAATGTCTTGTTAAAACATTTTTTTTTTTGTTGTAAAAAATATTTATTATGTGAAGCTCTATTATTTTATGATATTTATTGCAAGAGACAGTCTTAAAATTTACTCATGTCTGAATATAACAAAATATCAAATACTTACTGAAAAAATTAAAGGGTGGCACAAAAGAAAACTATGTTAACTTTAATGCAGAAAATATATTAATTAATGAAAAAAAAAGAGCGCTTGTCTGGTGTCTTGATTCAGATGTTTGAGGGAGTGAAAGATCCGACTGATGTTTGATTGTGAGGCTGTTTATGTGAGCTTGGGGTCTTCTAGCTAACAGAAAATCACTGTTTTCTGTATGTGTGTTTGTGTGTGTCTGTGTGTGTGTGTGTGTGTGTGTGTTCACGCTGGGTGTGGAATTCCTGGTTTAAAAAAGAAAATCAGCCGTGAGTAGAAACAGCTTGTAACTTGAAATGTGACTGTTTACATTCTTGGAAGGCTTCTTTGCTGCGATTCTCCTCGCTAACCTTGAAAGCTAAACAATACAGGTCATTGACACGATTAGCCCTGAAGCTGCTAGCATCAACAGAGCCTCCATGTTTCCATGCTCACAGGAAGTAACTCTCCTTCTTTAAACCCCCCCCCCACTCCACTCAGCAGTCACCACAAAACTATGCACTGTAGTTTACACTCCCTGGGCTTTTAACACGGCTAAGATCGGGATGTTCCCAAACTCCCAAATGGTCTCCATATTGCAGAGACGGCCCTGACAGAGTGTGTGTGCTTTGAGAGCGACCATTACGAGGAGCCGGGGCCACCTGTTCAAAGATAATAAACCGGGGCTATCAATGCTGGGCTTTTTATGGCCTGGTTCCTGCACTAAAGCCAACGACAGGGGCAAATCCAGCTCCCCCCGCCCTCCCATTTGGCCGCCTCTTTTTGTCAGTGAATTTATCACTTGGGAAGTCCGCTGACCCCCAACCCCCCCCCTTCCACCTCCAGGCCCCCAGGGGGATGAGATCATCACTTTGAAAGTTGGTTGGTCGGCGCAGAAATGCCAACAGTTGGGGAAACACAAACTGTGAGCAGGAATTTCTCTCTGAGACAAAAGGGGGGAAAAAAAAAATATATACACTGTGGCTTAAGTTAAGTTTGGGAAAGTGCAAAGAGTTGACAGGAAATCAACAGAAGCAAATTGCAATGATGGTGCCTTCAGGTGCTGCAGGTTGTAGGAATATTGGCCTGCTGAGCATCTTAAAGGAGGAAACGTTTGAAGGATGTGCTCAAAGGAAGCATTTTGTTGTCTTTTAGCTAACCAGCATTTCACTAAGTTCATCAGCTGTTTGCATCACCCACCCCTCCATATGAGGCCCTCTGTACTTTATGTGCTCTCTCCCCCCCCCCCCTTTTTGGTGGAATTTACCTTTTTGTCGCCCTGAATGAGTGGATTAGCGATTTGTCAATTTCCTGTTACCTTTTCAGAGCTGCAATCCGAGCCCCATTTGCTCCTGGCTCCTGGATGATGGCAAACAATGGGGGGCCTTTTTTTTTTTTTTTTTTTCAGGTTTCACTACAGTTCCCCTGTACGGATAAGAAGGGGGGGGGGGGTGGAGATCTAAACTGTATTCAGAAGGCAAGGGAACAGGAAGACAGTGTTTACTTGATATTTTCCAGCCTAAGCCAAATAAGGAAACAGATCTTACTCCCACCATTTTCCAGAAACTTGGCTGCAGTCAAGTCCCGAACATGTCTCTTAAATCTCTGATCTAAATCGGCGGAGGTGTCTGAAAATAACATTTTACCGCTTGTGAGTAGTTTCTCTTTTCAGCCCACGCCACGTGAGCTGTTCTCCAACTGCGTCACATTTTTACTCACTGGATTCAGTAAGAAGTGAAATCTGAGTCATTATTAAGTAATTCAATGGCATAAAATGGTCACAACCTCCCCCTCCTCCTTCCTCCTCTTTGCACTTGTTTCAGAGTAAATTTAGCCGCTCCACACGCCCACGTCATGCTATTTTGGAGTTGTCAGGCTTGGCGAGTCCCTCTCTGAAGCTTTTTTTTTTTTTGGGGGGGGGCATGACTACCAAGTGAGTCATGGTGGAACCTCCAGCCCACTACATCCTACCGGGGCAGTCCTTTTCTTAGCCGTGCCGGGGCCCAGCCACAATGGAGCAGGATAAACAGTCATCATCCACCTCCTCCTCTTTCAATGCATTCATCAGCAAAAAGGGCCTGCTTCAGCTTTCCTCTCCACTCATCTGGTTTTCATTATTTCCCCTCATGGCATTATAAATAGAAATTAGCAATCAGGGGAAATATGGGGGCGGTGGTGGATTTTGGCAAGGCAGGGCGGCTTTTTTTTTTTTTTGGACCTCAGCGTGATGACCAAAAGTTTATGGAAGTTATCTCCTCAGATGTTTTGGACGATCTCGGCGCTCTGGAAGCGACATGTGAGAGATGATGTGTTTGGAGGATCCGCTCCAACATCCACAAGCTGTCTCGGCAGGATTAAAACGACATGAAAATATATTCGATATAGCTTTAAAATGGTTTAGTGCAGGTCCTGATAGAGCCCCGGTTATACCACACTATGTCAAAAGAGATCCTGTATATTTACAATGTAAACGCGCTGTAAAAAGCAGCCTAGTATTTAACTTCACCGCCGTGCGCTACAGTTTATAATAAAGGTCTTGAAAGCGTTTGGTTTGGAGAATATTCTCAACCCACAGAGGAACATGTAATCCTACAATTTTACTTAAAAACCTCACATGAAGATGAGATCTTTTCACCTAATAGAGATGATATTAATAAAGCTGCTCCTGGCTCGACAACAGAGGAGGATAAACAGGTTTTTGAGGTCCATGTCGCCAGATGTTGAAGAACATCTTTATGATTTGTAACTTTAGTTTCTCTGCTTCACATCTTTAGTGGTGCAGAGGTGGTTTGTGCAGACGCTGGATCTTTAAATTCTCATGGAGAGATGTCCCAACAAGCCTTTTCTTTCCCTTTTGTTTTAAAGGGTTAGACCGACAAGACTTTTTTTATATCCTGCATTTCTATAGAATAAAAATGAGCTCTTCTGTTCTTCAGGAAGTTGAGATTTTTGGTTTTATTTGCCAGAATTTTAAGAAACACCTCAGAGATTTCTGCCTCCTTCCCGAATCTTTGAAGGTAAACAGAGTTCTGTTGTGATTCTCACTGCTTAAAAACATCTTTTGCAGTCCTGCTTGTAAAAGGATGATCCACAGATGTCGGCCGTTTACAACGAGGAACTCATTTCCGGGCTTTTGAAGAAACAGTCCTGAAAACAATCAAGAAAAAAAAACAAGAGAGAGATGGGACATGGAGTGAATTAGTTTAGAAATAAACTTTTTATTTTAAGAGTTTTGAGCAGCAAAAAAAAAAAACATTTGGAAATAGTTCTCCTTGTGCTTGAGCAAATCCAGAAATCTCACAGACCAATTCCTCGAAAACCAAAAACAGGGTTACACAAAGAGACGTGAAGGTGTTTGAAACTCCATTGAAATGCTGCGTGCTGCTTCCTGTTTGTTTCTTTTAACGGCCTCTTTCCTCCTCATGGGGCTGTAAGGGCCTGCAGGGACGACCCGGTGTTTTATCAGGTGTCGAGGGGCTATTCAACATGGAGGTGTTTCATTGGGGGGGCCCGTCGAGCAGTTGCTCCTGGGTACACACACACCCACAGGAACTAGAGTGTAAAACTTTCACACCCCCTAACCTGTGCCTGTGTCTATGCAGCGTTACATCTGATACCACATTCTTCTCCAAGCCCACTTCCTGTCTCTTGTCTTTGTCTGCCATTTTATGAACAAAGGCCTTTTTGGAGGGGACAATGACGACAATGATGAGAAGAAAAAGAAGAAGAAGTAGGAGGAGGCAGAAACCTGTAGATCAATACCAAACAAGATACTTGGCAATCATTCCTTTGACGCCTTCTTTAATTCATGGCCAGGCGTTATGTCGGCTGATCTGGATCAATTGCTCTGATTCATCAGAGTGATTGACTCATCAGTGTTTAGAGTGTCACTTCCTCCTCCTGAAAAGTTAGCCACAGAGCCTTTTCAGCAAAACAAGGCTCAGGAGATTAGCTGCTGATTTATCTTGTTTTGCTAATTCAATCAGTTGGTTGTTTGGTTCAGCTCTGCTCATATCGGGGACTGATGCTGCAAACAGAAAACTATCAAGAGTTCTTTGGATTTGATCCTCAAACATGGTTTAAACGGCTCAAGAGATACCCAAAGAATACAGAAGTATACTTGATGTTTGATCTGAAGTCTTACATCTTTAGGTTGGAACCCTTAGTTTCTAGTTGTGGTATTATTTTAAGAAGACAGAGCAGCAGAACATGACAAAAGAAGTAGTCAGAATAGAGCCAGTCTGCTAAAATGTGAATTCCTTCCTAAAAGTAGACAAGAGAAAGAATCCAACCATTATTACTAACATGATTGAAACATGTCTGATTATAGTTTGTATCCGGAAGTCTTCAGCTTTAAGTTACTGCAGACCACAGTTTCTACTCGGAGGGGGGGGGTTTAAAAAAGACAACAGTCTCAGAGTTTGAAAAAAAAATTGTTCTGGAATTAAAAGAAAATCTCCTAAAAGGCTTTATATGAGATTTTTTTGATCCAGCAGATTTCGCCCTTGAGCACCAGCATGAAACCAAAACAGCTTGCGCTGCATTGTTGTGTTAGCATGCTAATGCTAGTGAGCTTTATTATGCTGGTATCTTCACACTGCATGTAAATTTACCTGAAATGAGCGTGATCTAGAAACACAGTTAAGCAGTGAGTACAGTATGTTATTCTTCTTTTCTCTAGTCCCTCAATTAAACAACTTTTATACGCGAGGGGAGGAGTCAGCCGGCCGTCCCGGCGATGTAAACAAAGTGAAGATAGGACTCTGAAAACTCTGAAAACATCACAGACAGTGGGACTCGGGTGTTACACCCATTGTAGACAGTCATGACTCAGAGAGTTATTTTCAGAGGATATACTTGATTTCTATTATATTTAAGTGTGAAAAATCACAAGACTTTAAGAATCCACTTTCTCCTTTAAAATCATTTCTTAGAGTAGTTTTCCTTCTTTGGTCTCATAAAAACACCTCATGGAATTAAAGGAACATCTTCTAAATCTTAATCAGTGATCTGTTTAGCTAACACAGTTAGAAATAGGGAGTATTTCAAAAAATGACAACAGAATTCGAGCTTC